TATCAATAGTAATGTCGTAATAATAAAAATATTAGAATTAAAATAAATGTATTTATGTGAACAACAATCTCATATTTATAGTAAATATACTATAAATATCAAATTTGAGAAGAAAATTTTTTTCACTATATGTAGCTGTTAAAATTTCAAAAACACTATTATAAAATTATGTTCTAATAAATCATGTTATTTTATATATAAAACATTTACATGTAATAAATCTATATACTGCACAAATGGTTAAATATGTAATTATTGATTTTATTTTATTAATTAGATCTTATAATATTAATTAAATAAATATTTTATTTATTAGTATTATTATCGAATTTTGAACATTACGATTTCAAATATCAATTTATTGAAATAATAAAAGGCAATAATAAAAGGCAAGTTTCACGGTTTTCGACAAATAAAAGTTTTAATATTCCATTTCACAGTATTGGAAATAAAAGGGCAATGGATAATAAATGAAATATTATACCATTCCAATTTATTGTATTAGAAATAAAATGCGTACAAAGTATTATTATAATTCAATTAATATTTTTGTATTGTGATTCAATTATTGCTTTCTTTTAGAAAATGATATTTTTTTATTAATAAACAAAAATAAATTAATTATTGAAAGTGAAATTAAAAATTAATATATTATTTAAATGTAAATCACAATAACTATTGAAGGATACATTACGAAATCCAATTTATTGTATTGGAAATAAAATGTGTGTAAAATATTATTGTAATAAAAATATGTTATTATTAAAATTTCAAAAGCACAATTATAAAATTATATTTTAGTAAATCATGTTATTCTATATATAAAACAATTACTGTTAATAAATTTATATTGATTTTATTTTATTAATTAGATCATATAATATTTATTAAATAAATGTTTTATTTATTAGCATTATTATTAAATTTTGAACATTACAATTTATTTATTAGCATTATTATCAATTTTTAAATATTACAATTTCGAATATCAATTAATTGGAATAATAAAAGGCAAATTTTACGGTTTTGAGAAGATACAACCATCTACTTTACTGTATTGAAAATAAAAGGACAAATAAATTGCACAACATGATTGTCAAAGTAAAAGAACAAATAAATTGCACAACATCTCAATTATTCTGATTATTGCTTCGACTGTACCGCTCTTTCCAATTCCTCCATCGTATCTAAACAACATAAGAAGAAAATGAAAATTCATCAAAATTAAAACAATAACAAACAAACAACATCAATTAATCACATATCATCATCACACTTATCACTGTATAATTTATATATTCTCCTTTCATCTAAACATTCAAATCATGCAAAAAAAAATTGCATTTGAATTCCTTAACACAATGACCCAATTTAAAAAACATGGAGAGAATGTGAAGTAATGGTTGTAGGAACCGTTTTTTACCTATGGAAGATAAACTATTTTGTAACCGCTATAGAAGGAGAAGGATGCATGTAACACATGAGATCGGAGAGGACGGAGGATGGTGCACCATGTAACACTCGAGACTGAAGGGATGGTGCACCATGTAACACTCGAGACTGAAGGGATGAGACTACATGGTTGAAGTAAGGCTTATAAGGATTAATTGGTACTACATATACCAACAAGATGTATCTTTTCAATAGTCTATTCCATATGAACTCTACAGATAAGTGTGCTTGACATGGAGCAATTTTGGGATGGGTGACGAAGTGTGTAAGGGAGGCCAAAGCAGGGACGTGTGTTGGTTTGTGGGGTCAGTCGATAATTCTAAAGGCAATCTGGGACGAGGAGTGGTCGCCTCATCAGAATGAGAAGGATCTTGAGGCTGTGCAGAGATGAGACTGCATGGTTGAAGTAATCCTTATAAGGATTAATTGGTACTACCTATATCAACAAGATGCATCTTCTTTTATGCATCTTCTCTTTTCATCCCTAGGAACTCCACAGTTAAGTGTGCTTGACTTGGAGCAATTTTGAGATGGATGACCTTCTGGGAAGTTTCTTAGAAAGTGTGTGAGTGAGGTCAAAACATCTTGAAAGACCCGTGTTAGTTTGTGGAGTCAATCTATAATCCCGAAGGCAGACTGAGGCGTTATAATGCATCAAATGTGAAACAGTCGTAATAATTAATAAACAAAAACAAAATATTGTATTAAAATAGTAATTTTTATGGAACCTTTAATGAATAGTTAAAAAGATGGAAAAAAACTAAAAATTAAAAAATTGTAGGTAGTTATGGAATAGAAAAGATATATATATATATATATATATATATATATATATATATATATATATATATATATATATATATATATATATATATATATATATATATATATATATATATATATATATATATATATATATATATATATATATATATATATATATATATATATATATATATATATATATATATATATATATATATATATATATATATATATATATATATATATATATAAAATAATATTACTGTTAGAATTAGAGTAATAAATATATAGTTATGGAATAGAATAGATACGCCTTTTTAATGTATAATAAATATATATTTATAATAATTTATACCAAAATATATTATTACTGTTAGAATTAGAGTAATATTAAAATTAAAAAGAAAGTTAAAATATAGGAATATAAATAAAATATTATGATAATTTTTTAAAATGTAAATTGAAATTAAACAATAAATGCATCCATTAAAATTAATTTTTTTTATAACAATGGTAAAATGTAATCGACTTTTAAATAATAATATCTTTATAATTGTTATTATTATTTTATTAGATATCATTAATAATTGAAATAGGAATGTAAATATTTTTATAAGACTTAATTTTTCAATTCATAATTGGAATTGAGATAGAAATAGAATAATAATAATAATAATAATAATAATAATAATAATAATAATAATAATAATAATAATAATAATAATAATAATAATAATAATAATAATAATAATAATAATAATAATAATAATAATAATAATAATAATAATAGTAATAATAATAATAATAATAATAATATATTTATTAATATTTTTTTAATATTTATTATGATCCATAAAAAAAATTATTTCATAAACTAATTTTCAAAACAATTTAAAAGTTAAAAAAAAATAATAATTTAAATTTTAAAAATTATTGTACTAATTTATATAAATGAAAAATATCTTTTATTGAATGTCATGATTAAAATTTGAATTATATAAAATTAAATATATAATTTAGCCCGAGAATAAAATTGAGACAAAATCAACTTTTATTGCATTTTTAATGTATAGTTAAAGAGATAAAAAATACTAAAAATTAAAAAGTTGCAGGTGGTTATAGAATAGAAAAGAGATTTGTATATATTTATAATAATTTATACCAAAATATATTATTACTATTAAAACTAGAGTAATATTAAAAAAAGTCATTTGATAAATTATTTTTCAAAAACAATTTTAAAGTTAAAAATAAGTTTTTTAATTTGAATTTTATAAGTTATTGTACTAATTTATATACATGATTTTTTTTAATTATATTTCATAACCTTATTTCGAATTATATAAAATAAATATATGATTTAGTCACTAAATAAAATTAAGACAATTTTTTTAATAATTTTTATAAACTAAGCAAAAAAATGATTTTTATCATAATTAGTTATTAAAATAATTTATATATTTTTGATTTTTGATTTGTATTTATTATTTTGAAAAATTAAGTAATCAAAAATTTATATAAAAATATGAATAAAGTTTTAAATAATTTTATCCTTACTTGATTTCTTTAATTTTAAACTTTTTTTAAGTAGTAATATATTTATTTTTTGTTTTTTACTTTTTATATTATTATAATTGTAGTATATTAGTTATAATTTAAGTGATTATTAAAATAAATTTTATTAAATATTTTTTATTTTTTGAATTAAAATAAAAAGAACAAAGAGTTTTATTTTTATTTTTAATTTATAAGTGAATTGGAATAGGAATATGTATAGTATTATTATCATGAGTTTTATATATTTTTTAATTTATAATTGGAATTGGTAATTAACATATTAGAGTTTTTGTCCAAAGTTACCATGAAGATGACATGTCAACATTAGGTTACTATGAAGATGACATGACAACATTTTAGTTAGGGTTGTGGCCAAAGTTGTCATCACGACAACCTTGAATTTAGTTTAAGTTGATTTTCAAGCTAAGATTAAATGAGAATCAGAATGATTAACATCATTGAATAGTATTCACTACAAAAAAATTGTTTTTTGCGACGTGATTTTTACGTCACAACGTGAAAAATCACGTCACCATATGTAATTAGCGACGTGAGTTTTCATGCGGTAGGAGCTCGTTTGACAATTTTGTTGTCATATGAATTTCACGTCGCAAGTTTGTCACGTGATGTTCACGTCGCAACAGTTGTGACATGATATTCATGAAACAACTTACTGAAATAATTATTTTCTTTTGTCTACTGGAGTTCAGATAAAATAGAAAATGGCAAAGAGTTACAACATGAATATTATGTGGCAAACTTGCGACGTGAAATTCACGTCACTAATTTGAATAGTTATAGAAAATTATTTTCGGATTAAACTATATATTTATTTTAATAGTATATATAAACCTAATATATTATGTCATTAAAATATATTTTCGTATAAATAATTTTTTTATAATATATTAAAAATTAAAAACAACTACTACATAAGTAAGTTACAATAATAACAACCCACAACCTAATATATTTAAATCGGAAAAAAAAAATCTTAAATACCTCAATGAGGATTAAAAAAAACATAAATCTTGAACCTTGAAGCTTGAGTCTTGATATATCTTAAATCTTGAAGAAAAAAATTAACAATGTTATACAACAAAAAATCAACATAATATTTAACAAATAAAAAACAAAACAAAAAATGAAAAATTAAATTTAATACCTTTTAATTTGAAGATGAAAATTGAAAGTTATAAGATTTAATATGAGAAAGAAGAGGAACAATGTTGGAGAAGGAAGAAGGTGAAGAGGAAAAATGGTGGAGGAGAAAGGAAGAAAAGGAAAAATGGAACACTGATCCAAGCGTGAAACAGAAAAGTTTAAAATATATATAGAGAAACCGGTAAAGTGAATTTTACATCGCAATCTAGCGAAATGAAATTCACATCGCAACTCTCCGATAGTTATATTTTTGTGACGTGAATAACATAACACTAATAAAGATGTCAGTCAACTACTCCCATCAACTCCTTCGTCAGTCAACTTCCCTCCTAAACCATTTTTTTTTGAATTTAACATTGCGATCTGATTTTCACGTCACATCTTAATTTTTTAAAAATTCAAATTTCTCCATGTGCAAAGTTATGCAAGTATGATGTATTAATTTTTTATTTTACTTTTTAAGTTGTGACGTGATTTTCATGCCACAACATTTTTTTTAAAAGAATTTTTTGTCTTTCTCATGTGCTAACATTGCTTTTAATTTTTTAATAATAAAACAATATCGTGATGTGATAATCACGTTACAATTCCCTTTTCTTACCACGTGATTTTCAGGTCACTATATCACGTGACTGAAGAGATGTTTTCTTGTAGTGATTATTCATTATTATTTATGTGTTATATTGTTTATCATTAAATATTTTTCTTTTATAGTATCATATTTAAAATGTTTACTTTTTTTTAATTTTAAATATAATCTATCAATTATTTGTATAATATGATAATGAATAAAGCATGAGAGAGTAAAAGAGAGAAAGATGGAGGGGAGGGACGGGGAGGAAAGACTTATAATGAAATGTGTTTGGTTCAATTTTTAGGAGGGGAGAGGTGAGGAGCATAATCCATTTAAATCACACTTTTTGCATCCTTTTAAATCGGGGAATTCGAAAGAGAGGGGAGGAAATGTGAGTATTAATATTTAATAAATTAATATATTTATTAAAATATCCTTAATTTTATTTTAGTATTTCAAAATTATCATTTTCTTTCGTATCTCTGATTTTTTTTTTGTTGTGATTTTCTCTATTGCTTCTATTAATTTATTATAATTATTCTTCACCTCAAAATTATTATTTTTATTTAATATAAATTATAATCACTATAATGCTTTATTTTATTTTTATTTTTATGGTTATTTATATTGGGTTTTTTTCTAATTTTTTTTATGTATTCTATTTATTTTTTTAAAAAAATTTAAAGCATTCATTTTTTTTTGTAATATTAATATTTAATAATAAATTATTTTATGCGTTCAAAAGTTATTGTCAACATATAATTTACTTTGTGTCAAGAGTTATAATATGAATCAAGTATACTCAAATTTTTTAACATTATATAGTAAATTATGACTTTTTAATCACTTAATATTACAAATTTTATTTTCTAAAAAATATTTATGAAATTTTCACCATTGAATATCATATCATTTATTTAAAATGATAAGAATAAAAATATAAATTATAAATAAAATTTCTAGTCTCCCCTCATAAACCAAACATATTTTTAATCAAAATCCCTCTCCTCCCCTCTTTTGAATTAAACATATACATAATTTAAAAAAATCTCTTCTTTCCCCTTCTCTTTTCTTCTCTCCATTAAAATCCTTCCCTTCTCTTTCCCCTCAATTGAACCAAACAGAACTTAAGATGGAAAAAAAATAGATATCCGAACCGAAGTTGGAAAAAGTGTTATTCAAATATAATTGGATGAATAATATGAATGGAACAAGCTTATGTTTCGCAAAAACCTGAGTTTCCATGCATCTATGTCATTTTATAATATTCTAGAATTAGGAACAAAAATAACTCATTCTCCTGTCATGACTTGGTCATTGATGTCGTGGAACTTTCACTGTCTCTTAAACAAAAGTACCTATTTTCAGATTCATCTTCTCTTCTTATAACTCTCTCTTTTTCTCTTTCCACCCTCTCCTTCTCTTTTCAAGAGGTACCATTCTTTTTCACCTTCTCTTCGTAATTTGCATTTTTCTGTTTCAACTTTTTTCATGTTTTGTATACATTTATTTTGACCTAGTTTATATATTGTTGTTGTTGTTATGGTTGCATTGCATGCAGGGTATTTGGGAGTACACAGTTTCTTTCTGCAATTGTAGGATGAGACGTTAATTCTCCTGAATACCAAGCAGAAGCAATAAATAAAGACAAAAAAACACAATGTCTGCACCAGAATCTCCCAGGCCAGGTTTCATCTCAATCCATTCCCTTATTTTAATCTCTGTACCACCGACTCCTCTGAAAAAAATGTTTCTGTTGACATGACATTTGTGATTACGTCTAATTTATTCATTTTGTAGTGTCTGGTGGTGTCTGTGTGTTTTGGCCGTGGTTCATAGCTTTTAATTCCTTTTTGCTGTTCTTGTGAGTCTTGCATCTTACGCAATCTTTGTATATTGCAGCTCTTGACAAGGTCGACCGTGTTGGATCATTGAAGAAGAAGCTGAGGGATTCCCTCACGAGGATGAGTAGGCGAAGCAGTAGCAAGGTTATGTCGGTTGAGATTGAAGATATCCGTGATGCCGATGATTTGAAAGCTGTTGATGAATTCCGTCAGGCTCTTGTGTTGGATGAACTTCTTCCAGAGAAGCATGATGACTATCATATGTTACTCAGATTCCTGAGAGCAAGGAAATTCGACATTGAGAAATCAAAGCAAATGTGGTCCGAGATGCTTCAATGGAGGAAGGAATTTGGTGCTGACACTATTGTTCAGGTATCAACTCATAAATAAGCAAACAATGTAGGATTCATACATTGATCAATTGATTTTTTGTTTTTTTTTGTTTTTTCATATCGTATCTGATACCGGTACTTTGTCTAAAACGGGCGTACCAGGTCTTCAAGACCTTATCTTTACTCAATTTTGTGTCTTTATAGGATTTTGAATTTGAGGAGTTTGAGGAAGTGTTACAATATTATCCTCATGGACATCATGGAGTCGATAAAGATGGACGACCGATTTACATTGAGAGGTTGGGCCAAGTTGATGCCACCAAGTTGATGCAAGTCACAACCCTTGATAGATATATCAAATACCATGTCAAGGAATTCGAAAGGACATTTGATCTCAAGTTTGCAGCTTGTTCCATTGCTGCAAAGAAACACATTGATCAAAGCACCACCATTTTGGATGTGCAAGGAGTGGTATGCATATAGGGAATTGATTATTTCTATTAGCCAGGCAATGTTGTTGATTAGCAGCATTATAGGATAGCGGAGTTTGAACGAATTGCTATTGTTCTGCAATAGCCAAAAAATTGTCAATTGATGGCTAATATAATTCTGATGTCACAGGGGCTTAAGAACTTCAACAAACAAGCCAGGGAGCTTATCACGCGCCTTCAGAAGATCGATGGTGACAATTATCCTGAAGTATGTTTTTGTTCTATTTTACTGATATTATTTTGAGATAAAGAAATAGATTTTTTTAAAGAAAATAAATATATTGTGGTTTGCTGAATTGGTTGGTTCAATGCAGACCTTGAATCGCATGTTCATCATCAATGCAGGTTCTGGATTCAGAATGTTGTGGAACACTGTTAAATCCTTCCTTGACCCAAAGACCACAGCCAAAATCCATGTGAGAACAAACATAATAGATAATATCCTAATAAGTTTACTTGTATTTCAAGAAATTGAATTATTATTTATTTAATTGAACTTATAATTTATCAGGTTCTTGGCAACAAGTACCAAAGCAAGTTGCTTGAAATGATTGATGCAAGGTGATTTTTATAACTTCTTCACAGTACCTTATTTTCATGTTCCACGTGATTTTCATATTCATTAGTTTCGGTTTTTCAGTGAATTGCCAGAGTTTTTAGGAGGTACTTGTACCTGCGCTGATCAAGGAGGCTGCATGCGTTCTGATAAGGGTCCATGGAAGGATCAAGATATTTATAGGGTGAGCCTGCAAATTCATGTTGGGAGTGAGAAAAGTTTCCCTTTTTATATAACTTGGAATGACAATTTTTGTTATATGTGAATTTGCAGATGGTTCAGAATGGCGAGCACAAATGCTCAAAGAAATGTGAGGCACCTATCGTAGAAGAGAAAACAATTCCTGAGGTGTGATATCTTATTTGAAGCTCATTGTTCAAACATTTGGCCTTTTATTTGATCTTTAAATACTTTTCACTTCTCAAAACCATTTGCTTATCTTTTGTAATTTTAGGAAAGCGCGGCTTCCAAAATGGAGGCAGTTTTCACTGCACAGTTGTCCTCTGCACAAATGTCTGTCTTTGCAACGGTATGTCAGAATATTCTCATTCCGAAATATAATGTTGTGTGGAATGCGTTTATTCTTAGCTTAATCTTGAGGACTAAATAAATTGTGGATAAACATAATAGGCCCCTTCTATAAAAGCTTGCAAGTACGAGGATTTTGTCCCTATGGCTGAGAAAAATGCTTGGAAAAAGGTGGAAGAAAATAACACCTTAGCAGTATCAAAAGGTACATACATGGTATCTTTCACTCGAGAAAAACTTAATCATCGCAAACTACAGAACTGAATTATTTATGTGTTTTTGCGATCCATATGACAGTTGGAGTAGAATCTTTCGTCATGCCTGATTCGTACAAGATTCACGAAAAAGTGAACTCACAGATTTTCACCGGCGTGATGGCCTTTGTGATGGGAATCGTAACAATGGTGAGGATGACACGAACCATGCCGAAGAAGCTCACTGATGCGAACTTCTACTCCAATTCTGTTTACTCTGGTGATGACAATAAAAACCAAGACTCTAGTGATCAAATGACTAACCCTACCATATCTGCTCAAGAGTTCATGACTGTCATGAAACGTATGGCTGAGTTGGAAAATAAAATGGGTAACATGAACCAAAATGCTTCCATGCCACCTGAGAAGGAGGAAATGCTTAACGCTGCCATAAGTCGCGCTGATGCTCTAGAGCAAGAACTTATGTCAACTAAGAAGGTAATCATTATCTCTTATTGCTCTTGCGCTTGGAATTCATATGCACTCTCTTATTATTATTGTATAATGTTTGGACTATTTTATAGGCTTTGGAGGACTCACTTTCCAAACAAGAGGAGCTTTCAGCTTACATCGACAAAAAGAAAAAGAAGAAGAAGTTGGTATGTACACTAAACTATATATATCTATACTAATTTAATTATTATACTCACGGTCATTAGACACAGACACAACATTGTCACGTCAGTCACTCTGACATGTTGATACATTTATCTCTGTTAGACAAGAGACATACTTATGATAATAGGTTTTGGTGCATTACTGATTTTATGTGTTATTGTTTGATGAGAAATTTTTAGGTAGTCACACATATAAGCTCTTGTTTGATATATTTTGTTTGGTTTTATAATGCAGTTTGCTTGGTCATAAGTTCAGAATAAAATTGGAGATTAATTATTTACTTTGGTTTTCCGGAGACTTCCCAAAATACCCTCGCTATAATATAGTAATGTTCAAAAGCTTGATGTAACTGAAATTAAACATCATCGTATATTGTATATAAAAAGCTTGATGCACGTTGTATGCAAAAGCTAGTATTATTTTGAAAGTACAATACACGAGTGAATATATTATAGTATTAAATTAGATAGCATTTTTTATTTTAAAGATTGTTAAAATTTGTTTTACGATGTTTATTCTTAAAGCACCAAAAGGATATAAAAATATGTTCCAATACAATCGTTAAAACAACACTTGATTAACTCGTTAAACCAGATAAATCAATAATTCTGCCATGCTTGATTCAAAGTTGTTTAAATATTTCAATACAATTGTTAAAACTACATTTAATTAACTCTTTCAATTAGATGAATCAAGAATCGATCAATGATTCAACCACGTCGTTCTTAAATATTTTTAATAAAATCGTTAAAACCACATTTAATTAAGTCGTTCAACCAAATGAATCAAGAATCGATCAATGATTAAATTACTTTTAATTCAAATTTGTTTTAAAGTGGATTGAACCATAGTTCAATTGTTGTTGATTCAACCAAATTTTATTTTTTAATTTATTTATTTTTATTCTTTATTTAATTAATCATCCAATTCAATAGTGATTAAAGCATAATTAGTAAGGTTAATATTTATTCTGAATATTGTTATAACTTATAAGTAAAGATTTTATTGAATCATTGATGATGTATTGAATCAAGTAACTAAAGTTACTTGATGAATTAAAAAATATTTAATTATTAATAGTAATGAAAAAGCAAAGTGTACGTTAATCACCTTTATATGTTATTGATTTTACTTATTGATCAGAATTTAAAAGTGGGCTGAAGGATGACGTCTGTTAGGTTGGAAAACTCAAGAGAGAAGGAGAGTGTACCTGCAAGACACTCCGACGATCAAGTAAGAAAGAGTGCAAAGAGATACAAGAAAGAGATTATGGTTTTTTAGAGTGATTATTGGATATCTGACCCTCATAAGTGTAAGGGTTTATATAATGCCCCCGGCTTGTAGTCATTGGTTCCTATTTTTTGGCCTAGATATTAGGTTTCTCAAAAATAGGTAACTGCCAAGACTTGGTCAAAACGGACAATCATACTCGTAACTAGTCGTTGCTCCGAGCAAGGAGGATCTTACGGGCAGGTTTGTTTATGGGCGCTTTCTGGTTGTCTTCTCTACAAGTGTCGAGCATACCTGGAGGTGGATATCGATGCGGCCAGACGTATGATCAGGGCACCGTTATCTTCGCTACTCTTGCGGTGTGATCGACCATGTGTGCTTGACCGAAGATCAGGGTTAGTAGGCCAAAGTTGTTGTGTCATGCTGAAGGTAGAAGCGAATTGAGTCAATTCTAGTCATTGGGCCAATCCAGAATAGGAACCCTCCAAGTCGTTGCTTCTGGGAAAAGGAGTGATGACTTAAGACGTGCCCGCTGGCAGAGGACGTTTCGTGATTTTGGGGATAATTTCATATGAGGAGCTTAAGCGCTGCTTCATGTGTTCGACTCACGGGGAGAAGAACAATTGATTGGATTTGAGGAGTTTGCGTGACACGCTTGCATCGAGCCACATGCTATCGTTAATACGTAATGATGGAAAGTCTAAAGACTATAGTGTAATGATGACGACCCATAGGCTTCCCTAGACGCGTACCTACTCACGTGCTAGAGAAGTTTCCTATAAATGGGAGAAAGGAAGCTTCATTTGCACTTTTTCGCTTGCCTCGTCCTGCTCGTTTCTTCTAGATCTGCAAAGCATCATCGTTCATCACCGAAGTTTCTACCTGTTCCGCTATTCACCATCGGATTTCATGCTCGTTCCGTCGTCAATCTTCCCCACCCAATAAGTTCCTTGATTTTTCCCTGTTTCTGTGAAATTCATCTCTGTGAGATGCATGCGGTTAGGATTAAAGTAGCTTTAGTGTGGAAATTTTTGGTGGTTTGTTGGCGTCTGACGGTGGTTCCACCACATGAGGATGTTGGCTTCAGTGTGAATCCTTTAGGAATGTCTAGCATTAAGGCTGACAATGGCGAGTTACGATGAGCTTTTGGGCCGTTTCTAGGTTTCTTTAATGATCTTCATGCGTTTTCTGATGAACCCTCAAGTGAGGTTTAAGACCCGTTATCGGGGGAATTATTCCTGGTGCGGGCAATGGTTTATCCCGACAGAAAAACACCTAACACGTTAAAGGGAATCGTCATCGTGTCTATTTTTTTTAATGTTTTAAGTGAGGGCTCTAGTCGGGGACAGGGTCCTCATTCCTTTGCGTGCCCTTTCACTTGATTAGTTGTGGAAGGGTGGATTTGATTTGATGTCGAATTCACTTCCGTCCTCTACTTTTCAGGTAAAACGGCTAGTAGCATCAAAGACAGAGTTATGAGCGAGAAAAGTGATTACAAATAGAGTTCGTCGGGCGTACTTCGACTGAAGAGAGTACGTCGATGCAATAGGATTTTAAGCCGAGCCCGTCGGGACAAAACATACCTGAGCAGAATGTGCCTGAGGCACCTGTGGCTTCCATGGTTGGGTCGCACCAAGTCCTCAAGAGATTGCCTCCTACTTCGCCAAGCACCTGGAGGAAGTGTTCACAGTTTTGTCCCTGGGGATGGAGCGAGAGAGTGCTAAGGAGGAATGGGTTGTTTACGTCCCCCAGAAGCGTCACCGCATCTGCTTAAAGTATGATGTAAATCATTTCCCTATGTACGAGATCCTTTTTAGGGACATGGCTTTCCGGCTCCCTTCTCCAACCTACAAGTGGCCGTTTTTAACTATCTATGTCTTGCTCCCTCGCAACTTCACCCCTACTCGATAGCCTTCCTGCGGAGTTTTGAGATTGTGTGTGATTATTTGAAGATTGGGGCCACTGTCCCTTTGTTCTTCTACTGCTTTCACCTTTAAAGGGGCATAAATGGCAATAAGCTTGAATAGGTCTACTTGAAGTAGGCTAACGGGAAGTTGTTCAAGGCCTACTTTGAGTTTGTCTGACACTTCAAGAACAAGTACTTATTCGTCCAACCTGTGTCGGAGAAGGCGATTCTGAATGTTTTCAAGAGTGCCCCAAGAGAGTGAGGACGGGGAGCCGATGCTGACCGAGGAGGATGAACTGAGGAGGGAGTTGTTGTAGAGGTTCAACTTTCACTAGAACATGGAACATTTTGATCATGGTACCAATCATTACATTGTGAAGGCGGACCAGCTGAACCTTGAGAACCAGGCTAGTTACGACCAACTGCTGGCCTTTGTCGAGAGCATACCCCCAGTTCAACGAATGGGCAAAGAAGGAAAAGTCATTATTGACGAGGAGGGGAGAGCCGTATTTGAGCCCGTACTTATTAACGTTAAAGAGCTCCTCAAATCTGAGGACCCTATGAAGTCGTTTTGTCTTTTTGTCTTGCCCTATTAGGTAGTCGTATTAGGTACTCGTTTTGTCTTTTTGACTTTCCCTTATCCTGATATCCATGTTTTGCTAATCCATGCTTGTTTTGTTGAAGAGAAAATGTCTACTCCTTAGGAGCGCATAATCAAGAATGATGCGGTTAAGGCCAAAATAGCATAGAAGTCGGTTTCTAAGAGCCTCTTGGGTGGAGACGGGGTTGATGTGCCTCCGACAGGGTTGGGGACTTCTTCGTCGGGCTCAGCCGTTGGGCAGGCTTCTCCTCTTCTGATGAGCTCGAGGTCCAAGAGAACTTGTTCAGATGACCTGATAGATTTGATCGGGGAGTAAGGTCCTGGGAAATTCAAGGTGCCCACTACTTTCACAATAAAACTCTCTTTGAAGGATGTTCCTTGGAGGTCCATCGAGAAGAGTCCCTGTTATACGTGGAAATGGATCATTCGAGCAAGAGGGCTCTGCTGGCTCAGGACACTGTTGTTATGATGCGGATCCTAGGTGCAACAGTGATCCATACTAAGGAGGGGAGCAGTGAGGATCTGGAAATGAGGAAAGTACGTGAGGTGAACAAGACTCTTAAGGGGAAGTTGAAGAAGGTGAAGGTTGAACTCGAGGAAGTGGCGAAGGCGAGGAAGGCCCTTGCCAAGGAGAATGATGCTTGGGTGGCCGAGAATAAAACTCTTGAGGAAGAGGTGAAGGGGATTAAGTCTGCTATGGCCCCTAGTAAGGAGGAGACAGAGGATGTCAAAGGGATGACGATTAGGGCCGAGCTGGTCACTCGTATTCAGCAAGTCGATGATGATGCTCTTGTGGCTATCGAGGATGGCTTCAAGAATGCGGTGGCCCAGATTCGTATGGTAAACCAGGAAGTCGACCTTGCTTTTAAGGGGACTTTCTTCCTTCATCATGTGGTGGATGGCCGAATGGTTATCCCTGACTTCCTTCTGGCGACCAAGGGTTACAGGATCGATTCCCCAGGGGTGCTCGTACAGCCGCAACTCGATGATAAGTGCAAATTGTAGTTATTTTTATATATACTTTTTGTTTCACTTATCAATACTTTTGTAAATATTTTGTTAACAATTCTCCTCTTTGTTGGTAAATTCGTTCAGTTTGTATATATTTGTGTTTTTTTGTACATAGTGTATCGTTTGATAGTTTTGTATTCATTTTGTAGGTATTTGAGCATTGTTGGAGCAAGAAGAATAAAATTTCCTAGATGCAATTTTGATCAATGAAGGATTAAGGCAAAAAAAGAAAAGCCATTGCAAGCTGTGCAAATTCACCAACAAAATTTGTTGTTCTGGTGTGTGTCACCGGGCGACGAGCTTCATTTCTTCATCGTCGGGGGAGCATGGAGCGAGTCGAGTTGAGTTTTCAAGTTGCATCTGCCTTGCTTCATTGTTGTGTCATTAGGCGAGGAATAAAGGTTCGTCACGAAAAGCTTTCCTTTGTTGGGTGATGTAAGATATTTTTTCTCTGTTTCCTGCATGGCGCAACCTAGGCCAAGTGTAATAAAGACCGTCACC